CAGTAACGTCCCGATTCACGCTGGCGCCATCTGGGAGTTAGCCCCGAAATAGCCGGTGCCAGATGGCGCGAATCGTGACTCTATCAGGAGGGAGGGTTAGGGGGGCTGTCCCCCGTTTCGGGTTTTATCGCGAATCGTTGAACAACTCGCTCTGTGAGAACAGAGAAAGAGAGCGAGCAGGATAGAGATGGACGGGGATGACCTTGGAGAGGAAGAGGAGTGTGGCAAGGAGGAGGATCAGGAGGACAGGGAACAGAAAAACTGGTGGTGGTTGTGGTGGCGGTGATGGATGATGATGAAGCTGATGATGGTGATGATGATGCTGATGCTGATGGTCATGATCATGATCATGACGATGGCGATGCTGATAATGATGATAATGATGATGATGATGATGATGATGATGATGTTGATGATGGTGATGATGAAGATGACGATGATGATGCTGATGATGATATTGTTGATGATGACGATGACGATGATGAACATGATGATTGTGCTGCTGCTGATGATGATGACGATGATGCTGATGGTGGTGGTTGTGTTAATGATGATTCTGATGGTGATGCTGATGATGAAGAAGATGATGATGACGATGATGATGATGAGGAGGAGGAGGAGGAGGAGGAGGAGGAGGAGGAGGATGCGGTGGAGGAGAAGAAGGAGAGGGGGTGGGCATGAGAGGCAACAGAGAAGGGAACGTAGGGAGGGTGCGGTAAGACAGGAGAGGAGAGTGGAGGAAAGGAGAGGACTCGTGTATAGAATGGCTTTCGGCATATCCCGCCACCAGGCTTGTGTTGTGGGTCATAGGTCTTTAGGGTGTTCGTTTGGATGTCGCGGGAGTTCTTTCGGGGGCCTCTTGGGGGTCGTTTTGAGGCCTCTTGGGGGCCGTTTTGCATCCTCTTGGGGCGTCTTCGGGGCCTTCTGGGGGCTCTTTGGAGACTCGTGGAGACCTCTTGGGTGCCTCTCCGGGCCTCTTGGGGCCTTCTTGGGTCCTCCTGGAGCCCTGTCGGTGCGGAATGATAGAATTTTCAGTTCGTGGTCCGTCTGTGGCTCCTCTCTTGGGACAGAAAGTCGTGGGGCCCTCTTGGGTTGTCTTGGCGCCTCTTGGGTCGTCTTGGGTCGTCTTGGGGCCCTCTTGTGCCGGCTTGGGACCCCTTCTCGGGAGCCTCTTGAGCCGTCTTGGGGCGATCTTCGCAGCCTCTTGGGCCGTCTTGGCAGGTCGGAAAGCCGAATAGATGAGAAGACCCAAAACCTTTATCCACATTTAGGGGATATGTGATTTGGGCCTCTTGGGGCGCTCTTGGGAAGCCGCTTTGAGGCCTCTTGGGCCGTCTTGGGGGCCTCCTAGGCGGTCTAGGGACCATCTTCGGCGTCTTTGAGGCTTCAGATATTCGGCGAGAGAGTCGAGGACACGCCCACTCCGTGCCCAGCGGCACGGTGGCGGATACTGTACGGGAGTCTCAGAAAATTCGCGCGAGTCGGACAGGGCAAGTTGCTCCTTGAAGCGCAGAGTACTCCGAGTTTCTTTATACGCGTCGGGGGGGCGCCTTCCCCGCCGACAGCCCCACATCGACCCCCGTCGCGGGCAGCCACCGCGCGCTGAAGGGGCTCCGACCCCCGTCGCGGCGCGACGACGAGGCGAGGCTGACCCCCGTCGGGGGGTACCCCCCCGCTTATTAAGAAGCCCAGAGTACGGTCGCACGCGAAATCGCCCATTCGCAACATATCAAGAGGTCCGTTCGGGGAGGGGCTCTGCTTTTCGGCCGCAAGATCTGGGCCAGGGGGTCGCGGCCGAGGCTCGCCGTGGCCAGCAAAGCACCCTCGTACCTTTTTTTGTTTGTTTTAAATTACCTAACAGCGAAGACTGATAGGTTTCTAGTTGACTCAAAAGAGCTCACAGATCACTCCACAGGGGGGTCCGGGCAGGCGTTGGGAGTTGCCGGGCGGCAGGGGGCCCCGCTCGTTTTTCACCAACAGTCACACACTTCGTGCTCTTCGAGTTCCCAGAACTCCATTCCCAGGCTCATTCTGAATAACCGGATGCAACAGTCACACACTTCGTGCTCTTCGACTTCCCAGAACGCCATTCCCGGGCCACATTTGGAGGGCCGGATGCAACAGTCACACTTCGTGCTCTTCGAGTTCCCAGAACTCCATTCCCGGGCCACATTCTGGATGGCCGGATGCAACAGTCACACACTTCGTGCTCTTCGAGTTCCCAGAACTCCATTCCCGGGCCACATTTTGGATGCCCGGAGCCAACTGTAGGCCACTTCGTGCTCTTCGAGTTCCCAGAACTCCATTCCCGGGCAACATTTTGAATGCCCGGAGCCAACTGTAGGCCACTTCGTGTTCTTCGAGTTCCCAGAACTCCATTCCTGGGCCACATTTTGAATGCTGAGGCAGGCTGATGCTGCGGCCGAGGCAGGCTGAGGCTGAGGCAGGCTGAGGCTGAGGCCGAGGCTGAAGGCAGACTGAGGCTGAGGCTGAAGCAGACTGAGGCTGAGGCTGAGGCAGGCTGAGGCTGAGGCTGAAGCAGGCTGATGCTGAGGCAGGCTGAGGCTGAGGCTGAGGCTGATGCAGGCTGAGGCTGAGGCAGGCTGAGGCTGAGGCCGAGGCTGAAGGCAGACTGAGGCTGAGGCTGAAGCAGGCTGAGGCTGAGGCTGAGGCAGGCTGAGGCTGAGGCAGGCTGAGGCTGAGGCTGAGGCAGGCTGAGGCTGAGGCTGTGACTGCGACTGCCGTTGCCGCTGCGACTGTCATCGCGAATGCGACTACGATTGCAAGAACAGCAGAACTCTACAGCTGGATTCTCACCTGAATCTTAAGGGGAATGCTTTCAGATATGCTTCTACACATCGCTGTTAGGTTGCTTTGCCGGGATAATTTATTTCTGTTCGGGGAAGGGCACTCCTTCCATGTTTAGATTTCATTGTGGGCGCACGTCGACGGCACCATGGTTCATGTCGATCTGACGAATCCGTCACCAATTCCAGCCAGCCCGGTCCAATTCGATTCCGTCATCCCGACGATCCGATGCAGCCCGACGCTCGCCTGGCGCTGTCGTGCATCCTGGCAGTGCCGACCCGATTCGGTTCTGCCATCCCGGCGATCCGATGGGGCCCGATGCTTGCATGGCGTTGTTGTGCATGTGCATCCTGGGTCGGCCGATCCGATTCGACCGCGAGGCCTTGCCGGTGCATCCCGATTCGACGTGCATCCGCCACAAGGACATACATTGACACCCTCCTATGGATAATTCTTCACGCTTCGCGTATCCCCACCAGCCCATCTCAAAACAGCAACTCTTGCGAAGCATGCCGACAGTTGTGTTTTTCAGGCGTGTTTCCGCCTGTCCCCGCATAATCTCCGGGCCTCTCGTCCTGGTGTGAGTCGTTCGGGCCCTTCTTCCTGGTGTGAGTCGTTCGGGCTCTTCGTCGTGGTTTGAGTCGTTCGGGCTCTTCGTCCTGGCGTGAGTCGTTCGGGCTTCTCGTGGTGTGAGTTGTTCGGGCCCTTCGTCCTGGTGTGAGTCGTTCGGGCTCCTCCTCCTGGTGTGAGTCGTTCGGGCTCCTCGTGGTGTGAGTCGTTCGGGGCCCGCGTCGTGGTGTGAGTCCTTCGGGCTCCTCGTGGTGTGAGTCGTTCGGGCGCCTCGTCCTGGTGTGAGTCGTTCGGGCCCCTCCTTGTGGTGTGAGTCGTTCGGGCTCTTCGTGGTGTGAGTCGTTCGGGCCCCTCGTCCTGGTGTGAGTCGTTCGGGCTCCTCGTGGGGCCTCTTGGGGGCCTCTTGGAGCCTCTTGGGGCCTCTTGGGGGCCTCTTGGGGGCCTCTGGGGAGCCTCTTGGGGGCCTCTTGGGGCCTCTTGGGGGCCTCTTGGGGGCCTCTTGGGGGCCTCTTGGAGGGCTCTTGGGGCCGCTTGGGGGCCTCTGGGGGGCCTCTTGGAGGCCTCTTGGGAGCCTCCTGGGAGCCTCTTCGGGCCATCTTGGGGCCTCTTGCGACCTCCTCAGAAGCGCAAATGAGAGCTGCGCCCGGAGAAGGACAAAATGAGTCCAAAACCCTTCGTAAAATCAATGATTTTGCTATGAAGGAAGATGAGCGCGGCCCCCTCAGGACGCCAAAATGGGGCCAAAACTAAAGTAAAATCAATGATTCTGGCTTCAAAGAAGAGCAGAGGGGCCTATCTCTGTCCCCCCGTCGGGGCCAGAATCCTCGTGAGGGTCGTCGTTTTTTGGCCCTCCGAGGAGTCGAAATGGACCCCTCCAACGACCCGCCGGACCCCCTCTCCAGGCCCGGGGTAGGGGGAGGGGTAAACCCCTCCCCGAAGGGGAAGAAGGGGGGTTGAGGACAGAGCGGGCTCTCTAAACCACTCACGCCCAAAGGGCTGGTGGGATTCCTGGGCCTCAGGGAGGGTGGCGGTGTATAAATCATCACTGGGAGCCAGCGAATCCATGCACCACCGCCCTCCCTGAGGGTACATGCAAAATTCGTCGGAGGGCGTCAATGAATATACTTTCGTGGAGTAGTGCACTCCGGTTCGATCCGACCGATCCGATCCTGACTGTTTCCGCCGTCGTTCCTCGCTCGGCGATGCTGATGGTGCGTTCGCCCTGCGCAGCGCATCCCCCGGATTCGGCACGCGGGCCACCGCCGCTGCCGGCCGGGCCCTCCGCTGTCGTCTTGGAGGCGGCTCTGGCGAGCCGGGACGAGTCGGCAGTCTGCCCGCCGTTCCCTCTGGAGGCCGCCCTGTTCACTCCTGCCAGCCTCGCCGATCTGCAAGCCGACGTCGTGTTGCATGAGCTCGGGGTCGTCGTCGTTCACTCACCTCCTGACGATCTTCCTGGTCGCCCTGCCGACGATCATGAGGCTCGTCCCGAACTTCGAGATCCAGTGGATGCACCTGTTCTTGAAGCTGCTCCTGCTGATCGTGAAGATCTTCTCGATGAAGGTGGTCGTGAGCCCCTTGCCCATTTTTTGTTCGCCGTCCCGCTCAGGCCGAGTTAGCTCGCGATGTTGTCTTTCGTGCTGATCCTCCTGGTGAAGGTGGTCTTGGGCCTCCTCATGCTCATCATGTTCTCTACGGTGTTGGCAGTGCGACTTGGTGGATTGCGCGCCAGGCTGTCGCCGAGTGCTGGCTCAAAGATCCTGCTGCTCCTGCTGCTGGTCGCGTGTCTGTCCGCCCTCAGCGCGACCTCCTTTGCGAAGACGGTCGTCCAGATGGCCTTCGAGGTGCCTCGTTCACTTTCCCTGCCAACAGCTACCGTGCCCCCGATTGGAGTGGTCGACGTACTGGACTATGTTCTTCGTTTTTATCGGCAAGGAGGTCTGTCCGTGATGCACTGCGCCGTCGGTGGCAGCTAGATTTCTGTCGCAGTGATCGCGGCCCTAGTGGTTTTGGTCCTGTTTGTTGTCGGTCGGGTCCCTTCGCTCGTTTGTGTGCGGGTCCTGGGGCCCGTCCCTCGTTCTCTTTGGGCCTCTCGGGCTCTTCCGTCGCGCGTCGGCCACGCGCAGGAGTTATCGTTCCGACGATAACCCTAGGATATGTGACAACTCGGCTCTACTTGCAGTTCTTTGTGTCTCAGCAGCACTCGCGCCGAGCCGGACTTAAACGCGACTTGTGGGTGAGGGGGGGTGGACTGGTTATTCGGGGCGGGACAGAACCCCCACCCTGATGCGTCGATTCGTGAATCGTCCGTTTTCGGTTCTCGAGGTGGGTCCGTGGCCGTCATTTTCCAGTCTTGCGCCCGACAGGCTTGGGCCCGAGTTTTTTTTTTTTTGTTCGGAATCGCGTTTTCAAGCTGAGTTATGGGTGGGGGAGGGGGCACTACTGTCAATTGCGGCCATTGTGGCCTTCAGCGGAGGGGCGGCAGCCTCCCTGCGCGGGCCGCTGATTGCTAGACGTTCGCTCTCCTACCTCACGCAACACAGCTCCGCGCGTAACCTGAAGTTCCTTTGCCGCTGCAGCCCGCCTTTGACCTTGCACTTCCTTGGCTATCCGACTACAATATTGACGGGCTCACCAATAGGTTTCGGGGGGGGGGCACCAAGGTCAGGATAGCCGTAGGTGCCTGCTCTTTTTAGCCTTATTCGCTGCGCTGTTCCTCTTTCCTCGGCTACGGCGCCGCCCAGGTGGCTTGCCTGCGCCTCCACGTCAACTCGATTTGGACATTTTTTCCTTGCTAGCGCAAAATCTTTTCGGTCCTCCACTCCCCCCGCGTTAATTCGCTCCAGAGCGCCTTGACATGTTTCCAGAACGTTCCGGGTCGCCCCGGATCGGCCGCGGCGCCCGATGCGTCTCCCAGGCCCGATGGTTCTCAGGGGTTCCCGACTAATCTTCGTCCGAAATGAAGTTCCCATGTTGTTTTCGGCTTGATGGACATGTTACGTGTGCGTCGCTCGGGGCCTTTTCGCCAGCGCGTTGACATGGGGGCGGCGTGAGTGGGGCCTGCCTTGTGCGCAGGCGCCCGGGTGGCCTTTTGAACCCCCCTCCCCCTGCCTTGTAACAAGACCCCCGCCTTTTCAGATGGCCCCCCCCTCTTCGTGCCATCACCTCGTGCGCGCCGCATCCTCCTCCTCCTCCTCTTCCTCCTCTTCCTCCTCCTCCTCCTCCTTCTCCCCCGTTTCTCCGCTTCCTTTTCGCCTCGGCGGAGGCGGCGGCGGCGGGCGCGTTTTGGATGGCCGCGGGGGTTTGCCTGCCGACGTGGCGACCCAGTGTCCTGAGGGCCATGGTGAAGGACTTCCTCGGCGCTTCCGCGGCGAGGCGTGCTGCGCGGCGGCGCGGGCGCGCGGTTCTGGAAGAAACGCTGCGGCCGCTGGTGGCGGCACTGGGCGCCCCGGGCTCGCGGGTGGACCGCGAACGCGCGTCGAGGCCGGCTCTGCATAGTATTGCAGCAGGGGATCGTGTTCTTGGCGTCGTGCGTCTCAGGCGGAACGGCCTGGCATGCGCGCCGTGTGCCGTCTCCTAGGGCCACGGCGGCGTTTTCGGCGGCATTGTCCCGGGTTGCTGCGGGGCCCCGTCTTGGGCACACGCCTGGTGGCATGCGCGCTGAGGCCATGCAGTTCGTGCCGCGGGCTGCCTGCCGCGCGGTGGGGGCGCGCTGCAATCATGGTACCACGGTGTATGCGCCGATCCAGGCCCCTGCAGAGCAGATGCAGAGCGTGACGGAGCCCGAGCATGGCGCCGAGCAGTGCGAGAGCGTGGGTGTGGACTCGGAGATGGCTGGGCGGCGGGGGGGCGTCGACGAGGCTGCCGAGGAGTTCGCGGAGGCGCATGCCTCGCAGGCGCCGACTGCAGGCGCAGAGGTGCAGACTGACGGCAAGACGGGCGAGAGCGTCACGGAGGCTTGGAGGTGGCTGCGCGTCGCGGGGCTCGCCCTGATCCGCTCGGAGCGCTGGCGCGGCTGTGGCGTGTGACTACCATTGCGATGCACGGCGTATAGAGTCGGCCGAGGGTGCTGCGACGGATGTCTCCTGTGTAAAGCAGGGGAAGCCGTGCGGCGTAGCGGTTGAGGAGTTCATGGACGCGCAGGTCTCGCTGCCAGGCGCAAGGCTGGGCGACGGCGTCTCGGAGGCTGCCGCGGTGCCGAAGAGGAAGGGCCGTTGTCGGGAGTTGCTTCAGAAGGCCGAGTGCCATGGCTGTTTTCTCTCCCCTCCCGAGGTCATGGCCCAGCTCCTCGGCCGCAGGTGACGCTGCTCCATTTCGGCATTTCCGAGGGCCTCGTCACGGTCGCGGGTCCAGGGCTGGTCAGGTCCAGCTCTGGGCCCCCGCGGGCGCACGCGGGCGCACTTTCCGACATCTCCTCCGCCTCCTCCCCCCTCCTACTCCTGCTTCTCCTCCTCCTCCTCGTCCTCTTCCTCCTGCTCCTCTTCCTCCTGCTCGTCCTTCGTTCTCGTCCTCCTCCTCCTGCTCGTTCTTCGTCCTCCTCCTTGTCCTCGTCCTCCTCCTCCTCAACCCTCGTCGTCGCGTCGCCAATCGTCGGCGACCACTTGCGAACCCTATCCCTGCGGGTCCAGTTTGCGCTGGGGTATCGGTCATCCTGGATGGGGCGCGCGTGGCTACAGAAATCCATTGAACTCTGGAGCAAAGCTTGAGTCTCACATATCTGACCTGCAGGGGCAAGGGTGGGGTACACTGTTGGTTTCTTTCTGGCGAGCGGGCGCGACCGCGGCGGGGCGGACGGGGAAAAGGGTGCCGGTAACATCAGATTCGCTCTGGCGCCGCCTGGGGATGCCTGCTGGTGCCCAGATGGCGCCGGTGCGGGTCGTGACGGTACCATGGGGTGGGGAGGCGTGGGTTGCGTGGCCGGCAACAGGCGCGATTGCGAATAATTCAGAAATCGGTTCTAGGGTTTTCATGGGCGACGCAGACATCCCGTTCGATTGCGCGGGCGTTCGCGTGAGAGGTGTTTGCGTAAGGTCGCGCGTGGGCGCCTTCGATTCCACTGTAGTGTGCCGCGCTGGACACCCCCGTAAGCCGCCGCGCAAGGTCGCTATGCCATTTAGCGTAAAAGCCGTCCCTTTTCGTCGCCCACCTGTCGTCGCCGTCGCCTTTCCCTGCGCCCTCGTCGCTTCGTCCTTTACTCCCACAGGACGCTGCCTGGCCACGGGGCCGCCCTCTCCACAGCACCCGAGCGCGCCGCGGCCCTGGGGGCCTGCAGGCCGCCGGCGGCACCGCTGGCGGCGTCGTCGCCGTCATCGTCGTCGTCGTCGTCGCTCTCGTCTGTCGTCGTTGGGGTGGGGTGGGGTGGGGGGGGCGGATGGGGTTAAGTCGGGCCTGTCCCCCTACAGGGGGATTGTCGACGACAAATAAGAAATATTTCAAACATTGTTTCTGAATGGTCCAAAAATTCTCAGGGGATTGATTAGTTTTTGGGTATTTTTTGACCTTTTTGGGGCATTTTGGGGGTATTTGTAATTTTTCGTGGGAAGTCCCTTTGCAGGGGGCCACGCCCGACATACGAATGGGGGGACGTGCAAGGGGGCACCGGCGGGCAGCGGCCGGTGTGGCCCGCGGCGCCGTGCGCACGCCGGGGGGGGGGGGGACCGGGCGTGCGCGGCCCGTGGTCGCGCGTTCCGGGCGCCCCGCCCCGGGGGCCCTTTTTTTTGTCGTCCTCGGCACCTCCCTGGGCCGGGAGGGGGATGGCTCGTCTTATGTCGGGCGTGTCCCCCCCTACACGGGGGATCTTTGACGAAAATCAGAAGATACCCCCAAAATGGTCCCAAATGGTCGGGAAATGCTCAAAACATAGCCCCCAGACTATTTATGGATGATTTTTGGATTGTTTTTGGGTGATTTTTTAATTTTCGTCGAAAATCCCCATGCAGGGGGACAGGCCCGGCTTAAGGCTCGTCCTCGTTCGCTCGGGTGAAGCTGTAGGATAACCTTTTTTTCCTTGGCCTCCTAGATGGGGTCCGAGGAGATGGGGTCGGAGGATCGCGCCGCATCGCCGATGCATCGACGATGCGGCTTGATGTGGAGCCCGAGTTTCCCCACGCCGACGTCGCGGATGGGTCGCCGATGTCGCTGATGCATCGCCGATGCATCGCCGATATGTCGGCGATGCATTGACGATGCGGCGCGATCCTTCGACCCCATCGACTCGGACCCCATCTAGGAGGCCTCTATTTTTGTCGTGAAGGTCTTGAGAGGAAAGGGATGGAGCGGCTGTGTCGTTTTGCGGAGGCGTGATCGGCTCGTGCATTTGGCGTGAGGAACCTCAGGGCCTCGACTGGGGGTGTGGGCTTCCCAGGGCAACGCACATCTGCCAGCTAGGGCGTCTCAGGGTGGGCTTCCCCAGGCAAATGGAATGCTAGCTGACCTGGCCACGGGGCGACGCGCCTATGGCGCCTTCCCCGAGCTGCGGCACGATTGGCTGAAATTCTGGCCACCTTGTCAGCTGTGAGGACGGGGGGGCAAGGGCGGTGGGGAGGAGGAGGGGGAGAGGGAGAGGGACCCCCGTCCTCAGGGACGAAGAGAAACTCCCCGCCCTCGTCGGGCAAGGAGCCGCGGCCTCGCCGCGTCCCGCGGCGACACGAAAACAAATTCCTCGGCGGGGGGGGGCCAGGAGCCAACAGGAGGCGAGGGCAGGGGGGACCGACGCGCAACCTCAGGGTCACCTCGTTTGCTGGAAGTCGTTGTCCGAGCGGAATCTGGTGCCTCCCAGAGCTCTTGATCGTCTGACAACGCCATTTGCACTTCTGTGAGGTCCGGGCAATCATTCTCCTCCCCCGCCTCAGGGGCCACATCTGAGATAGGGGCAGGTGGGAATTCGTCTTCTATGTCGGTGCGCCACGCACTCTGTATTGCCTCATGCATTGCCTGAGTGATTACTGCGCACATGCGATGGGGGTACGTAGGTCTT